GGGATTATCAGGTAATAGTATGCATCTGGTACACGCGCGCACGGTGGGAAGCGTTTACTCGTTTCGCGATAAATCACCGCGTAATTACACAGGTAGGAAGAAACGGCGCGCGGTTTCACTCCGCGCGCGCTCTCGCGCGCGCGGCTACCGAGTAGTATCGTGAACAAGGAAAAAGGGAGAAAAATGGGAGAGCGGAGAGAGAGAGAGAGAGAGAGAGAGAGAGACTCTCTCTCCTCTCGCCAGGCGTGCCAAGATTTCGGGGATTTCGAAATAACAGCGCTATTTCCAGCGGCCGTTGATATCCCCGCTGGCGGGGGTAAGGGGCTCGGCGAAAATCGGTTCCGCGCGGAAAATCGCGCGCGCGAAAAAGGCGGAGAATGGAAGAGCAGGAGCAGGAGCAGGAGCAGGAGCAGGAGCAGGAGCAGGAGGATAAGCGCGATTCGATTTCGCCCGGTTGGCACGCGAGAGACGTCTTACCCCTAACGCGCAAATAGGTACTTCGAATATCGCAAATATTTTTCTGTCGTCATATTTATCGCGCAGCGGCGTGCGACGAAATTCGATTTGCCGGCGCCGTCTACCAATGGCTCGATCGCCGTCCGGCAGCTCGACTCTCTCTCTCTCTCTCTCTCTCTCTCGAGCGGCAAAAGGACTGACATGACGAGTCTCGAGAGCGGGTGTCCTCGGAGAAAACGACGACGACGACGGGGATGGCGTCGATGAGACCGAGAACGAGTGAGACGGAGACGACGACGAAGACGAAGACGAGAGCGAGGTACGAGTGAGCGATATCCAGGTCAATGAATCGTGCGCGTGAATTCGTACATTTCGCGTATCTCGACGGCGTGGAGTCGAGACAGTGCGCGAGGAGTCGCATCCAATTAGCTTTGACAAACCTTACGCCGAGTTTATCGTTACAAAGTGACGGCATGCCCGCTTTGTGCACCCAAGTTCGTTCAGCGCGAGAGGACGCGCGACGTCCCGGGAAAGCCCGGGCCGTGTAAACTCGACCGTAAGCTCGCGCGAGTGCAGCAGGAAGCGTTGTACCTCGCGGGAGCGATCCGCCGCCAGCTATTACGGGAATGTTGCATGCAACGACGACGACGACGACGACGACGACGACGACGGCGACGACGACGACGGCGGCGGCGGCGGCGGCGGCGGCGGCGGCGGCGGCAGTGGAGGAGACGATGATAGTAACGACGGCGGAGAAGCTGACGGGACGAGACGTGCTGACGTTAACCCTTTCCTTGGGATTTCAATCGGAAGCTATCCGTCCGTTATACACAGCGCCAAGTCTCTCAAGGCGTTTCTAATATCGACTTTCGTCTGTCAGAAATGCGAGTGTACGGAGAAATTAGCGCGCGCGCGTATCGATCTCGACCGGAGGAATCGTTTGTCCTTTTCGGGGGAATGAGATATCGTCGCTATCGTCATCATCGTTGTTATCTCGCTCGAGTTATTTGCGGAATTTTCACGCAGGAAGTTGCGGCGATTATTATAACGCGCTTACGTGTTTTATATATATATATATGTGTGTGTGTGTGTGTGTGTGTGTATACATGATTTATATATAATTACCAAAAGGATCTGGCTTTTCAGATAATTGGCCGGTTTAATATCGCTCAGAGTGAGGAGGGAAGGACGGAGGGCGAATGCAATACCGTAACGTGAACATACGATACTTGAAAGACGCTCTGAAATTCTCGTACTTCTTCACTCGCACTACTTCAATTGCGCGTTATTAATCATAAAATTAAGAGAGAAATGAGTCAGTTCACTGATAATGAAAGAAGCAAGTGTCACAACTGCTAATGACTCGTATATGAACCCACCATGAGTAGCCACTGCCAATATTCAACGGATTTGCATCAGGTTCGATATACCCATGGTTTTTTAGGTCATTGTCTATAAATCCGGAATCAAATTTGAGGAATTCATAATGTGGCGGGTCTAATGTGATGGCGCTTAAATAAAACAAGTTTTGTCGGTTTTTGAAGAATATTTTTTAAGATTAATATCCTCGTTTTATTTTGTATGAAATCCTTTTTATAGACGGCTTTTCCGGTTGCTAATAGTAAACTCGGAGTCAAATGGAATTTTTACAAGAACGGTTTATTTGCTCGCTGTTATAGTTTGCCGTTGACAGTAACGCTCGGAATGAAAGAGGAAAAGCAAAGCAGTGTTTGAACGCGCATGCACAGTATCCGCGGAAGAGTTATCATGAAATGCTACGAAATTCTACCCGCTACCTTGAAACAGCCGCTGCTTCTCTCTCACTCACCGAAACTTTGCGACCTCGCGGTCCGAGCCGGCCGCGTTCCGAAAGAACGCGGCCGGCGAAGAAAATAATTCGCTGAGATTCGGGAGCGCGGAATAGTTCGGGGGGGGGGGGGAGGAGGGGTTCGGCACAAACTAGCGCGGCGCACAGAGGCGCACGAGGAGTGGATCAACTCTTTGCGGCCGTAATCCGAGTCATTCTGACGGCTGTATCTCGGCTTACGACAGCGAAGAAGGGTTAAGTAGAGGAGCACAGCCCGAACCGCGAAGTCACCTTCGAGTCGACTGCTCCGCTCGGCCGGCTCGAACCGGATTTCTCCCCCCTCCCCCCCGCTACCACATCTGCATCCGCCGGAACTGCGCTCTCCGGAACCGTATCTGCCATTCGCGCGGTCGCGAACTCTCTCGCCCGGTCTGAAACAGAAAATAATTTTCCTAACGAAAGAGAGAGAGAGAGAGAGAGAGAGAGAGAGAGAGAGAGAGAGAGAGAGAGTCACGATGAAGGGCAGACTTACGGTACAATCCGGACGGATTCAGGAACCGGTCGAGGTTCCTTCCTCAGTCTACCCATTTCTCTATCTAACATTACAAAATTAATAGCTAAAACCAAATTTGCAAACAGAAATGGCTGCGAACGTCCAAGTGTGACTAGCTGCGGTCAATTGCGGAACGTAACCGAGTTTAATTTAAGGCCTATCAACCTTATGATCGAAACCAAAGTTTCCGAAACCTATTTCGAAATAGGCTTCGTATCTCGGGCCATTGTGACTTTACGCTCTCTTCAAGGTTAAGCTACGAGTACCTTTGTGCGTTACGAACACACCTGTGATTCTTGTGATTCGCGCTCGCGCGCGAAATGCATCGTAAGAAGCTGTTTGCCATTCCGGCCACACAGCGACTCTGGAGCTTCGAAGTCTACCGAAGTGAGAATATAGTCGAGGTTGATTTTCGGTCTCGTGGAGTAAGATGAAAGCTCGTCGTACTAGTAACTCAATCGATCGAGATCATTGAAACATTTCATAACTTCTCTTCAGCGCGATATTAAATGCGCGGTATTAATAATCAAACCAGTCTAGATATCAAGCCACGCAATAAGTAAGTGACTTTGGATATTTTTGGATTTTAGGTCGAACGAAACGGTTACACGTTCTTATTATTACAAATTCATGAAACAACGATGCGCGTCATTTTGATCTGTTTTGGTCTTTCGTTGTATAATAGTTATGTTCAGCAGAAAAAGCTGCTGTACAACTGTTGCAAAATTCATAATTTTAATTGGCGTGTGCTCTTATATTTAGCTGAATCTAAAAGCATGCACCAAGCAGATTCGTCACGAATTTCACAACAGTTGTAAAGCAGCTTTCTCTGCTGTACGTAGCCAAAGCTTCAAGCGAAACCCGAAATTGCTTATTACACAGGCCGGTAACTCGCGTCTGTAATGATCAAGAAGAGGCACACCGTGTCTATATTGCGCGAAACTGCGAGTTGAAACGAGGTGAGATATTCATATCTCAGCAATGGCTAAACCGGTCGAGGTTTCCTTAGTCCCAATCGATACGACCTTAAAAAATAGGAAGAAAGATGTCCTTGTGTTTTTTTTGTGTACGTCTCCAAGTGGATATTTTAAGATATTTTAAGATATTTTAAGATAAAGTCCGAATCACGGAAAATTTCGAGGCGTTAGCGGGCGCGTTGAAGAAGCAGCGAGTGCGAGTGCGAGTGCGAGCAAGCGATAGAGAGTAAGAGAGAGAAGAATATTGCTAGAATATAGGAATAGAAATGTGCGAGAAAGAGAGCGAGAGAGAGAGAGAGAGAGAGAGAGAGAGAGAGAGAAAAGCCAAGATTTTTTGCATTAAATATTTTTTATTGCATTGTTATAATAAGTAATTTATCATAATAACAAGTAAAATAACCATAAAACTCAGTGTTCTAGTAAATAATGAAGACACTGTTTTTGAAGTACCGGACTGTGTATCACTGGGAATTTTCGATTTCGACATTTATCTTCAGATTGCAAATCGCTCTCATTTGCAGAGTTGATGTTGAGTAGAGTTTTTCAGTTGATGCTATTGCTTTGTTATATCATTTCTTTTTGTACCACAGTTGTGTAGAGTTTTATTTATAGTATTCAATAGAAGAATTTATTGTTAGAGATATAAGTTTTACTTGTACAAACTTATTACTTGTATAACGAAAATAATAAGTTGCCCATAAATAAATACATTGCCCAAAGATACATGCTCAGGTACGGTACGATGCACAGTACTAAAAGCGGAAACATTTATCTTGAATAAAGAATTAATTATATTATAATCATATATATATATATGTATATATATATATATATATATATATATATATATGTTAGGTTTCTCAGTTAGCGTTACTATTTTAATATATCATTTCTTTTGTAAAGTAGAACAGTGTTGTAGATTGTTTTGTTATAGTTATAAGTTTTACTTGTATTTATGTATTTTATGTTACATATATAACTTGCAAGAAAATAATTTGAAATTTCTAAAAATGACACAATACGTGTTGCGCGTGTACTTGGTGCCTCTTTTTATCTTCTTGTTTAAAAAGGTAAGTTTTATACAACGTTACGGGCTGTCTGTTGTGAGATACGTCCCGGCGGGACAAGGTCACGTGACTTTCAAAACAACATGCTCATAAGTACGCAACTGCCGCGACTGCCTCCATTACTGTTTACGCCGCGGCGGCGGACCGATCGGCGGATCGTCGCGCGTAATAATTTCCGAATTTTCACAGTGTACGCGCGTGTGTAACATGTAATATTCGTGCGTGTGTGTGTGTGTGTGTGCGTGCGTGTGCGCGTGACGATCTGGAGCATCTCGAGCAATAGCAGTGTTTCATGGTCTTTAAAGGTAAACTTTTGTTGGTTAACTTGGTTAAGTTGAAGAAGCTAATTTGTGGTCTCGAGTCTTTGTACTTTTGCCGCGGGGCGCATTTGTCGCTGTAATACTAATGAGGAAACTTATTTCTTCTTACAGATCTGCTGGAGTTTGCGGCCACGCGATAGCTGCCGGTTACCGGGACGCTGTTTCGACGGACGCCGATGCCGCGCCGGAGGGTCCGGTTCGGGCCGAGCAGAGTCGGCTTCAAGGTCAGATTCATTCGTTTGTTTGTACATGTTCTTCTTGATTCATTGCGATCGTAAATCGAGCGATTGGAATAAAAGCCATTGAATTACAATGGCAAAGGGTCAACGTTTGTATCTGTGCGCGCGTTTCCGCGAGCTGAACTCTCAACCTAACCTAACCTAACCTAACCTAACTTTTAACCAAACGATTTAACTAACGAAACTATATTTTTTTGTTACAGATCCGCAGCAGAACGCGGCTGACTCTGTCTGCTGTGTATCGGGTGAGTCAGAAAAGAAAAACGTTTTTATGGTGATGGATGTTTGCGATATCTCAAGAAAATCAATGCGATTTAATTATACTTTTTTTCACACATTGCTCGAAATAATCAGGAGATCGTGTCTTTCAATGACCGTGTTACACAACAGAATCTCTAAGATATAATATATATTTCTCTCTCTTATATTTACTCTGAATCATTAGAAGATACAGATATAAATGCTTTAGTTTGTTATTATATCGAAATCAAGATATGGAATTATTTGCTGCGATTCAATCAATATAATATACTCCTGCTTCGAGTAGTGTGTAATGTTAAAATTTGATCAGAATTCGCATCATCGCACGTGAAATTCACCATTATTTATCTTATTCGGCTTGAAATTAAATTTTATGTCCGTCGAGTTTATCAATTTTTTATACTTTTCACACGTGTCAGAAGCGATAATATTTCATTTGAAATTACCGATAAATTCGGTACGCACGTTTATTTACGTTACAACTTAGTCCTTACGAAGACGTGCGTTTCTTTCGAATTACCGTTCCGCGAAACAAAATATTTTCGTTTTTCTTCTCTCTTGTCTGAACGTCGTAATTTTCATTCGCGATTGATTCTGCGCGAATCGCGTCTCACGTATACATTCTCGGAACGTTGCAATTTATCGTGCCTTACTTCTTTTTGGGATAAAAATCTCATCTCTTGAACGCGACTTGATATACTTCTTTGTCTCGTCATTCCTTTTCCTTAAATCCCATCGAAATTAATGAAAGAAAGAAAGATAAACAAAGAGAAGGAAGGAAAAAGCGACGAAATATTGTGAAAAAAGAAACTTGTCCTGGATGCTGAGGAGACTGAACATTGGACGGATGACGCAGTGTCAGAGGAGTCAACGAAAGTCGGTGAGTGTGCAGATCAAACACTCAGGAAGCGTCATGTTTTGTAATGCACGCTCATAAATAAATCGCATTGATCTTCGACCATAGAGATAATAGTGCGCGATAATATACGTTCATATCTAGTTTAATAAAAATGTGAATCGCGAGAAGCACTGTTTGCTTCCTCTCTGATCATTGCGGGAATATTTATTCCGCGAAAAATTATACGCGGAACCTCGAGAGTGATAGTCGATAAGATGTATATTTGACGAATGAAAAACCATATTGATTGCACTGAAGCTGGCTTCCTTTTGCAAGCACTTTATACGAATATTAATCCGATATTTTGTGCATAATATTTATGCGCAGGGTCAATTTAAGAAAATTTAACGAATCATCGACTTTTTTGACGTCGCAAATTAACTACAACGTTTATGAAATATGTGTATCGCGTCTCTCGTCGCGATGTTTTCTCGCGGAGAATTAACCCCCGAGCGACAATATAAACGTTTTTGTCTGGGGAAGGGGCAATAAAAAAATTACCAAATAAGTTATCGGAGGTCGGTGCAAGGATGTCGATCGCGAAATTCACCAGACCTAGGAGTGGAATGAGAAACGGTGAAGATCGTGTGGAAGAGTCCTCGCTCAGAGAACGAAACGGGCAGAAGAAATTGGCTAATTCTCCGCGAGCTTGTGTTGCAGCACGACGTTTCTCATTTCGTCCGTGAATTCAGTGGCTCCGATCGAGTGCACAGGTTCTTACCGTCCCTCGTAATCTCTCTGCCGTTGCGAGTGCGCCTCTGTCCATCCGTTTACTCGCCTTCCTCCGCGTGCGGCGGGGGGCGAGGGGGGAATATTTCCGTTCGCGCGATCTTCATCCAGCGCGCGGCGCGCAGAACGAAATTCACACGCGCGGCGATTTCCTCATTAAAATACCCTCTCTCCCGCCCTCTCTCGTCGCTGGCTCAGTTTTGAAATTCACCGGTGATCGCATCTGTGATATCAACTTGTGATATCGACCGATTGTCGCGACGCATGTGATACCTGCGCCAAAGGAAGCAAAAGACAAAATCAGCTGACCCGTAAAAATCGATATCAGCTGTGCCGAGAAAGTGAATAGCAGATGATGGATCGGGCACGCGGCTTGCACGCATAGTTACGTGCCTGGGCGCACGAAATCCATAATACAGAGGCTATCCGGAGCTCGATATTTCCGTCCAGGAGAATTTCCGTTTCTCCGATCGAGCTGCAGGCTGCGATATTATTTTTGTTCGTTTCGCGACAATAAGTAGCCGTTGGTATTTACCGAGAACAGCGTGCACCAGACAGGTTATGCGGGTGTTGTTAACACATTGCGGGCCGTAGGTGTGAATAAATGTATTGAGCGTTTTAAGCATCGCGAGAAGGCCAGAAATGTCGATTTCCACTTTCCGGTTTCTGGACAAAACGCGATATATTTGTAAATTCTGTTTGATCCCATTGTACAAGGGATGATATTTTGATGAGTGTCTTAAAAACATTAATGGTGTATTCATTAATTATATATATATATATTGGATGAATATATATAGGAAACCTATTAAGAGACACGGCTCTCATTTTTCTCTAAATAATCAATGTATTTAATATACCGCGAGCCGCGTACATAATTTCAGTATTTCACTATATATCGAAACACACACGCATACACATATGGAAAAATTCGCAATTTTATGATACGATGTGAAGCGTGTGTAGAAGCAGGACATGCAGAAAACATTCTGTAAACTTTGCAAGCGCCAGAAGCGAGTAGATTACTTATTTTAATTAAAATAAATATAATAATTATTCATAACTCCGACAATATACATTTTTCGTCCCATGTTTTTTTCCTCCATTTTTGCTATTTGCCCTTGATCTTTTTTTTAAACATCCTGTGTGTGTGTGTGTGTGTGTAATTAATAAATACAACATTAATGTTCTTTAATACATATACATATACATATATACGTTTCAATATCTAGTGAAATATTAAACTTATACGCGCGGCCTCGCGATGCGTTAAATGGATCAATTATTTAGAGAGCGAGAGGGAGGGAGGGAGGGAGGGAGGGAGGGAGGGAGCAGTGTCTCTTAATAGGTTCCTCAATAACTCCGACGCGTACGCCGCACGGTCCGTCCGGCGGAATCGTTATTTCATTTTCCGCCCGGCGGTATGCAAATGATGATCCCTTTCTCGGATTAGTAGTCTCGTTAGGCGTTCAAAGAGATCCCTCCTCGCGATTGGCTTCAATAAGGTTACATCGACGTCGAAACGCGCGCTACTTTCCGCTCTGTGACGTCCGCGAGCGTCCTTCTCGTCCGCCGGATGCACTCCGAGCCACTCTCGGCGCGCGACGTATGAATATTATATTTGTCATTATACACGGACGGAGCAGCGCGCGTCTGTGTCAAACTTTGGTCCTGCGAGTGCGGCGGCGGCGGCGGTGGTGGTGGCGACGACGTCCGGCTTTCAGAAAGGGGGCAAAACTGCAACCGGCAAAGTTCAGAGAGGCAGGAAGAAGTTGCGCGCTTCTCTCCTTTCCCTCTGTCGAGGCGAAGTGTGCTGCGCGCGCGCGCGCGGGAAGCTATTATAAAGTATAATTGTAATAAGTAAACATCTATTCATGGCAAGTAAAATACAAGCGTACGGGAGCGAGCGCTCACGCCGTATTCGCTCACGCCGACTGAAAGATTTAATAACTGAAATTAAGATCAGGAGGCCATTTTTACGGGCAGAAACAAGCGAGCAGAAAGAAAGAGGGAGAGGCACACGGAGCGTCAGAGAGGGAGAGAGAGAGAGAGAGAGAGAGAGAGAAAGAGAGAAAAAGAGTCGTGGACTCGCGCACAACTACATTGCAGAGCTCTCGCAGTGCGAATCGATCCGCGAGAGAGAGAGAGAGAGAGAGAGAGAGAGAGAGAAAGAGAGAAGCGGCCTTTAACTTCCAAAGATAATTCCCTCCTTGTAACGTGTTCTTATTTCGCTCTCTTTTTTCGCTATCATCGCCGTCGTCGTCCTCTCTCGGTCTTGCACGTCTTATATCAGCGACGACAACGACGGTGGCGACTATGAGCGCGTTTCCGCTCAAAGACGCATTAAGTGTTCCGCCATCGAGCGTATCGGCGAGTCTTTTCCTGGCTTAGCTTTCCGATCGCTCTGTCTTCCGTCTAGCTGTTTCCTCTGTCGCTCTCTGATTCTCTCTCTCTCTCTCTCTCTCTCTCTCTCTCTCTCTCTCTTCTACTCTGATAGTCTACTGCTCCCCTTGGCCGTTGGCGTTTTCGTGCGACCGAATAAATCCCGATCTCAAGCCGCAAGATTAACGTTCGCGCGAGTTCTCTCGCCGCGAGTCTCTCGCCGTCGATCCTAATCAGCATTCAATATTACACGCTAAATTTCGCGCGGACTTGCTCAGAGTTCTCCTCCGGCCGAGTCGTAAAGTCGGATAAGAACGCCTCACTTTCGCTCCATAAAGCTGCGATGAGCGTTACTCATGTAAATCTCACCCGACTCCTCTCCTCTCCGCGACGGCGGTGGCGCGGCGGCAGCAGGAGGGGCAAGGACGAGGCGACGGCGAGGAAACGGCGAGGAAACGGGAGGGCGAGGACGACGTTAGCCGGCCGGCCGGGTTTATATAACGCCGCGCAAGCGTGAGCGGACGCGCTCCTCGTTGTGCGCGTTGTACGTTACGTGCGACAACGCGACGGGGACGTTATCGGCGGGAGTAGCCCGCGGTAAGTAGCTCGCGGTAAGATCCGTACGTAACGAATCGCGGAGGAGCGTAAAATATAATTCCACGCACTTCCGAGGTCGCGCTTCTACCCGCCGAGAGAGACGGAGCCTCACACTGCGGAATTTTCAAGCGCCAGCTCTAAACCATCCGGAGTTCCGCGATCCCGCGACTTTGATCCTCGAATGCGTCAGCGTATTTCCCCTCTCGTTTCTTCCCCTTCTTTCCCTGGTCGCGTACGCGCGCTCGAACGACCGTTCAAACCGTCGCCCTTCGACTCGCGAGGAGGAGACCACCTTCCCTCCCCGACACCGTCTCACCCTCGAGTCTCGCGCGTAACACTCTAATTTGCGACTTTCCATTTCGACGGTTAGAGAGCACGATAAA